TCATCCAGCTCTACACCTTGTTATCTCAATTGGATACATAGTTGGCTTAACGGCAGGAGACAGAGTGGTGGTGGAGGGTTGCTTTTCAGACTGGAGGCCTGTGATCAGCAGTGTTCCACAGGGCTCAGTTCTGGGCCCTCTTTTGTTTGTCATTTATATAAGTAATTTGGATGAAGGCATGGTTGGTAAGTTTGAGGATGACACCAAAACTGGTGGCATAGTAGACAGTGAAGAAGGTTTCCTAAGATTACAAAGCCATCTTGATCAAATGGGTCAATGGGCTGAAAAATGGCAGATGGAGTTCAATCTGGACAAGTGTGAGGTAGTGTATTTTGGTACAACAAACAAAGGTAGGGCTTATAAAATTAATGGTAGGGTCTTGGACAGTTTTGTAGAACAGAGGGACCTAGGGGTGCAGGTACATAATTCTTTCAAGTTCTTGTCATACATAGACAGGGTGGTTAAAAAGGCATTTGGCATGTCTGCCTTCATTGCTCAGTCTTGAGTATAGGAGTTGGGAAGTTATGTTGAGGTTGTACAGGACATTGATGAGGCCTCTTCTGGAATATTGTGTCCAGTTCTGGTCACCCAGTTATAGGAAAGATATTACTAAGCTGGAGAGGATTCAGAAGAGATTTACCAGGATGTTGTTGAGTATGGATGGTTTGAGTTATAAAAGAAAGGCTGGGACTTTTTTTTTTCCACTGGAGCATAGGAGGCTGAGAGGTGACCTAATTGAAATTTATAGAATTATGAGAGGTATACACACAGTTAAAGGTAGCTGTCTTTGCCCTAGGATGGGGGATTTCAAGACTAGGGGCACATTTTTAAGGGGAGAGGAGAGAGATTTTAGAAAAAAGTGCTTTTGTTTTAAAACACAGAGGGTGGTTTGCGTGTGGAATAAACTTCCTGAGAGAGTGGTTGATGTGGGTACAATTACAATGTTTAAAAGGTATTTGGATAGTTACATAAATAGGAAAGGTTTGGAGGGATATGGGCCAGGAGCAGGCAGTTGGGACTAGTTTAGTTTGGGATTATTTTTTGCATGGACTGTTTCCACGCTGTATGGCTATCAGCTTATATCACACTAATACTAGAGACATTTCTGCCCTGCCTCTTGTTCTTGTAAGAACCTTTTATTGCCAAATAAAATTCTTCCCTTTCTTGTTAAGCAATAATGTTCAGGATAACAGAATACATGTGGAAAGATCAGCCACATCTATTTGAAAGATAGAATGGACTCGAGGGGGTTGAATGATCACCTTCTGCACCCATTTCCTTTGTTTACAAACTGAAGGTGCTTGCCAAGTACCCAATATCATGGAATAGCTTCTAGACAAGAGTAGAAATGGGATAACAAGGTGTAGAGCTGGATGAACACAGCAGGCCAAGCAGCATCATAGGAGCAGGAAGGCTGACATTTCAGGCCTAGACCCTTCATCAGAAATGGGGGAGGGGAAGAGGGTTCTGAAATCAACAGGGAGAGAGGGGGAGGCAGAAGTGGGTTTGAGTGAGCTCAGGGGAGTGTGTACAGCAGCTGGTTGCATCTCAGTCACAATTCAGTTGCTTTCTTTTCCCATTCTTCTCCATGAAATTCTGGCCATTAGCTCAAAGTGTGTTAACCTATTCATCACAATAACACAATGTTAACAAATTCTCCTTAGCTGGAAACAGCACTTTCAAACATCCCACCAGCACATCCTTTCTTCATCTTGCAGAGATAGGTTGACACACACTGCCTCAAAGTTACAAAGCAGAATGTGTTCTTCAATAATTGTATTTTTTTGATGCTAATCTATAAAAGGGCTTGCATGCCTTTTCAGATAAACGTAAAAAGTCCCCAAGATAGCTTTTTCAAAAAGGAGTTATTCCTGGTGACGGGCACAATATTTAACCCTCAGTACTAAAAAGGTTTATCTAATCATTACCACATTGGTGTGTGGAGAATCTTGGTGTGTGGAGAATCTTGCTGTGTGCAGATTGCAATGTGAGGAAATGCTGGGCCAACAATGATTACAGCTTAGAAATACTTCCCTGGCTGTAAAACTCTCTAGGACATCGAGATCATGCCTCCTATTTATAAAAAAAAAATCACAGGATCGGAATGGCAACAAAGGTGTGGTTCAATTGGACATTGATTGCAGTGGAGGTCAATGAAATGAGCAGTTGATACACCTTTTTCCAGGGAATTCTCTCCTCCTGTATACTACCATCGGACTACACTTCCTACATCGGACACCAAAAGGAACACAGAAACAACAATGGACCAGAGAAGATCACTGTCCACTTAAGCTTGTTAGGGGAACCAAGGCAAAAATGGCACATGTAGAAAATAATCAACCTACACTATGTCTCTCAAGTCAACAGAGTAAACAAAATCGTATTAGTGTAAAATCAGCTGCTACTGTCTAAGACCAATCCAACCACATGTCCCGCAAACCAGAGACTTTCACAAGCATCTATCCAAGTTGTTCTCCACATATCCCCCACCACCAGTCAACTGGCCTTTGATACAAGGAAGGCTTTACTCACGGTCTCAAGTTTCTGTCATGGGTCTTCAGAGTTATAGTGATCTACAGCAAAGAAAAGGCCTTGGCCTATTTTGTTCACGTCAGTCAAAAACAACTACCTAACTATTCTAATCCCATTTTTCTGCACTTGACCCACAGTCTTTAATGCCTTGGCATCACAAGACAACATCTGAATATTTCTTAAATGTCAAGGGATTCTGTTCTTATTGGCAGTGAACTTCAGATTCGCACTACTCTCCAGGCAAGGAGACTTTTCCCTCATCTCTTCTAAATCTTATGTCCTGTACCTCAAATCTATTGATGTGGCTAAACAGGCTGATTCTCAACTTGCAGATCTTTGGACTTGAGGCAGTACGTTCCATGAGATAGCTGGATCTGGAGGGTGATACATGCTTCCTTTCTTTCAGGTCATTCCACTGCCCTGCCTCAAATGTGGGGAATCACAGAGTGATGCAACTTGATGGACATTTCACCATTTTGAAGAATTGTAGCAAGCTCCTCAGAGCCATTAATTTAAACGCTGCCGTGCTTCATGGAAAAGTGTTTTAGCTAGTCATTTGAGAGGGGAGAGAAAAAGACAAAAAAAAAAAATCACACCTGGGAGAGACATTTTTCAACCATGCGGACGCAATTACTGGTGCATCATAACTGGCTTTGCACAAGTTCTGGCTGAATGCATGTGCAGCTAACTTCGAGGAAGACACTAATGTCTGTTAGATGATCTTGCCATTGAATCCAGAATATACAGCAGGGGCATTGATGGTGGAATTTCTCTAGCACTCTTTGCTACTTAGGGGGGAAAAGTGATGTTAGCATGTATGTGCAGGTTGGGGGATGGAGATAAGATTCAAGATGATCTGTAGTAGATAAAATGTTCTGTAAGCAATACAGAGATGCTCAGTGCTAAAAAGGTTTCCTTCTAATAATTTTAGAATAACAATCTGGATGGTTCAGATTGCAAGCTTGATCCAAGGCAAGATCATACTCTGGCTGTATTCTTCCAGTCCTTGACTCCAGTACTAAATTGAGTTGCTTTTGCAGAAAAGTGGAGCATGTATGATGGATGTACTACGGGTCAGAGGTGTCACCCTGCATCATCCCAACATTTCCAACTACAGCGATACCACAGCTCCTGTTTCTGCACTGTGTGCATTGCAAGCTACAAGTCCTCTGTGATAAACTGCTTTGTAAACCTCTCTTCCAAACAGAATCTTCAGGGAAAATGGAGCTTACGTTTAGCAAATTCATTGGGCTACCTATTCGTGCAGTGATTAAGAGATACTGTGCCGACATTTAAAAAATTGCTGTCAATACCCATGTGCCAACCAACTCATCTATGAATCTTAGAATGCCCAAGATCTATAATCTGGAGATGCATCAGTGAAGTAATTAAAGATTATTTTCGACTATTATTTACAGAGGAATTAACATCTTTAGGGAGAGCATCTAAAACAAAGTGCAAGAGAAAGGCAGAGGGATATGGTGACAGAAAGATAGGGCCAATACCAGGAGTCAGTGTACAGAAATCAGCCAAAGACGAAAACAAGTCTTAAAAATAATCCACCCAGTATCACAGGTGTAGCAATTCTGCTGTATTAGCTGAAGTAAGGCTGACATCTGTAGGTCAGGTCTGATTAGCTGCCCTTCACCCTGTCTTTTTGGTATGCAGAGTAAAGAGGATTTCAGGCTAAGTATGTGGATGAGAATATTGATGCTCCCTCAGAAGTGTGCAAGGTACGTCTTCTGCCTTCTAAGTGCTAAGGTATGTCTTCTGCCTTCGAGTGCTGGCTTTCTGCTGAATGACAAAGTCATTTCACTGTTGGCCTTCTAACGCAAACAGAATTGAAATTTTGTTTGGTATTTAGGTCTTACCAATAAATTCAGCTGACCTGTTAAAATAGAAGAATTCAAAAGTATTCAGTAAATCAGAAGCTTTACTAACTCCAATGATTTGATGAGATATTGTATTGATCATGAAAGAACAGAGAGAAAAAGACAAAATTTATACAGCACCTTTCATGACCAGAGAACATCCCAAAGCACTTCATAGCCAATCAAGTGTAGCCATTGTTTTAGCAGCAAGCTCCTACAAGCAGCAAGGTGATAGTAATCCTGATAATCTTATACACGATAAGAGTTGAGAGATGAATATTATCTGTGTCACCAGGAATAACTGCCCTGCTCATTGAAAAGGAATATTTTCCCTCCATCTCAGACAGACCAAAAGATTCAATTTAAAGGATCATCCGAAAAGCCCACATCACTGACAACGCAGCACTCCCTCACTACTGCTCTAGAGCATCAGCCTAAATTATGTGCACAAGTCCCTAGAATCGGACTTCAACGCATGAACTCGGACTTGGAAAAGGGAGGAATTGTGAATGCATTACATGACTATTCCCTATAATACCACAATCTGAATGTGGACTTTTGCATTTCTGCATAGTCTACAATGTGTAGTTTATGTTTCATATTTTAATCCACTATGTTAGGGGACTGTACACAGTCCTATTTTGCAGCTTTTTATTTGAAGGCTATGACTGATCAGCACACGTTGCCAAAGAAACTATCACAATGTCCAAATACCTTTTTTTTTAACTGGAGCTGTTGACCTCAATTATCCATTGCAGCACTATAGTAGAAGCTGGAGTTCTGTCAGCTTTGGCTAAAGTAGATGGCAAACAAAACAACGAAAATTTGCAACTTATGTACTTTAAAAAGGAATATATATTGACTTTTTAATGCTGTATTTTACTCATATATGATTTAAACACACCCTGATTTTTAGTACACCAACTTGAGAACAAGATGAGGCCATTCAACCCCTTGTTTGTTCTAGCATTCAATCAGACCGTAGCTAATCTGTATTTTAAATTCCATTTGTTCACCTTTTCTCCATAATCACTTCCTATCAAAACTCAACCAACCTCAACAGCAACTGATATTTACATATTACTACATTAAAGGCACTATCACCCAAGAGAGTGTTATTAGACATCATATTTTGAGCCGCAGAGAGGCATTACACGAGGTAGCCAGTTTTATTAGAGAGAGAAATTTTAAAAAGAGTAATTTAAAAGAATAGATAAAAGATGGACACATTTTTAGAGCTTACGGCCTTGAGAGCTCAAAGCACAGCTACTAATACTGGATCTCAATCTTGAAACCGTCAATTGGCCTCTACAACCATAGCCTTTTGGGGAAAAGAGTTCAAGATATCCACCACTCTCTGTGTGAAGCAATGCTTCCTCATCTTTCTTTTGAATGATCAGATTCTAAGTTTAAGAAGCTGTCTCCCAGTCTTGGCCTCACTTCTCTCTTTCTATATTCAAGCTGTCTCAAGGTCTGTATCTTCTTGGCCTCATTTCTCCTTCAACCTGCCCAACACACAAGCCCAAGGACATAAATTGCTCACATGACAATTCCAGATCAGACATGCAAAAAGCCAGAGCCATTCTTGGAATGGTGGAGATTCACTTAATGTACTCAAATTCAGTGATTTTTCAATACCAATAATTCAAGAATACACCACAGAATGCAAGAAAAAAAAAATCAGCTTCACATTTAAATTGTAAGTATATCACCATGTGTATTTATTGTTATTTCACATGGAAATGGACTCAAATCCTAACATGGCAGAAGATGAAATTTGAACTCAACAAAATTCCAGAATAAAGTACCATTTAACCACTGCCAGTGTCATTTAAAAACAAAAGACTGTTCTCTATGGAAGGAAACCTGCCATCTTTAACCTGGTCAGGCCTACACGCGCATCCAAATCCATAGTAATGTGGTAGACTCTTAACTACGCTTTTGGCAACCAGTGATGAGCAATGAAAATTGGCCTAGCCAATGACAACCACATCCTATGAACCTTTTTTTAAATTCTGACAGCTGTAGATGTCTTATATGGATAGCAGAAATTGGTAGGCAATAACAAGTAAGGTAATATTGGTAGTTTAAAGATACATGCAGTGACATAGAAACAAAGGAGATCACAGAGCACTAGGGCAAACTGAGGCCATGTTGGTGTTAGTGGGTATGGACACTTTAGCTGCAACTGTCCATCACCAGTAATAAAATTTAAAGTCTGTAAATAGGTCACCTTTATGTTGAAAATCCAAGTTAAGGCATGAATTTCATGTACACAGACCTTCTCTCTTGTCACAAACTTATGGTCATGCTTTTCTGTCAACCTTTACCATTGTAAATTGCTATGTCAACATGACCCATTCAAATACTGCTACAGCAACCGTCTCAATTTAGTTGCAGGTTCTGGCCACCAGGTGCCTTGAAACCAAGGTTCTGAAGTTTTTCTCCCAAATCCACCACCATCTCGCGTTCAAATGAAAACGGAGTTTGGCCAATTTAATGGTCTGTAAGGTTAATGATATTTCTAGATCATGAATGTGACCATAGCATTGCACCAGACATCCAAGAACCTCCAGATCACAGTTCGTATTTTAAATCCACGAGCATTTAATAAGTTGATGCTAAAGACCACCACAGCCTCGTTTGTAATAAACACTTAGAGTGCCAAGCACATTCAAAGCTGGGGGCATTTCTTGATTTTATTTATAAAAAAAAAAGTGTCCTGAATTTTTGTGAAAAAGTTGAGGCAGTTCAGACACTGACAGCTTTATAACCCAATTCAAACTGAGCAGGTGTTAAAAAGGACTGGCTATTGAAGAAAAATATTGCCTCGTGATCTATCCGAGAAGTAAAACGAAGTTACCCCACCACAGCCTCCTGCTGCAATTAGTGCTTTGAGTGACAGAAATATACGCATCTTATAAGAAATTCTCTTTGCACTGCGGCAAAGTTTCTAGGCCGAGTGTAGTCTCATTTGCATGTGTAATACAACTTGCTGTTTAAGCACGAAAATTTGTTGGAAAAAAACGTGCTGCGGAAACTCAGCAGGTTGGCAGCACCGGTGACATGAAAAAGAATTAACAATTCAAGTCCAATACAATTGCTCTTCAGAATGAGAAATGTTGAGGTTTATTAACAGCATTGGCATGGCACACATGCTGCATGTATTATGAATAATGGTTAAAATACTCAGAGGGAAGTTCTGGTTGGACAACATATCTAAACATTAAATGTTTGAAAGATAAAAGATTTCCTTCAGATGCATGGCTAATGACTTCAGTTTGATGGAATTGATGTCTCTTGAATCTGATACTAATATATTTTCTATAAATATTTGCTTGAGGTGTAAAATGACTTGCACTTATACAAGCTCTGTCCTAAAGCATTTTACAGCCAATGAAATACTTTTGAAGTGTGGTTACTATTGCAATGAGAGAAACTGAATTTACTCACAGGTCACAACATTAAAGCATATATTCTTAAACAACATGCTTTTAGGGTAAGATGAATTTACTTTATTAAATAAGCCTTTTTTATGTTGCATACGTTGAACCTAAGTCATTGCATTGCAAGAATCTCTGGGAATATTTGACAGGTCATGAGAAATCTCACTGTGTGGAGACAAGAAGCAAATAAAGAAGGAACTGGAATAATTAACAGTCACTTTTCAAAACAGCATGTTCTGAGAGTCAAATATCAGCCTTCTCTGCCTCTCAGTCATATTTCCATACCACCACTTGCTGTCAATTTAATGTACTATTATTGGAATTAACTAGCATAACAACAAGTGCACCCTTTAGCAGAAGGAGCTGATGCTACACAATACAGTACACCCTGGAACTTGATATTTAATAGTCTGACATGACTTAGATCATTGCCTTCCTCTAATTACAGGATCAGGTCTCAAGTTTATATTGTAATCGCTCCTAAAATGTGTCTCCAGTTCCAAAGTTCTTGATTCAACAAGATAAGGACATGTTGCTTTCCAGGATAAGCACAAATCAAGGTTTGCAACTCACTTAAGTTAGGCACTACATTTAAAAGCTCAATTTCAAATTAGGAGATTTTACTAAATACTTATATACAGTATATAACAAATCTGGAGTCATGAATCATTGGATAGTACTTCTTACTTCTTGGTCTGAAGGCTGTTGGTTGAAGTCTCACCCCTGCAGACCTAAGCACATGGTCTATTCCTGTTATTCCAGAAATAGCTTCTGTGGTGCCTGTGTTTTTATATATATATTTTCTAATCGACCAGTTCAGAGATATTATTACATATCTCGTGAGGCAAGTAGGATTTGAACCACAGCCTAGGCGGACACCAATATGTGTGATTACTGCACTGTCAAAGGTGTGTCTTTTGGATGAGGCATCAGAGGCTCGTATTAAACATTACATGGCACAATCTTAGGGACTTGACCAATATTTTTTCACTCAATTAACAGTCTAATTATAGGGCATCATATGCTGTTCAGAGGTTAGCCACAGCAACTACAACACTAAACTACTTTATTGACTGTTTAGCACTTTTAGTCTGCCAATAAAACGGTGCTATTTAAATGCAAGTTGCTTCTTCCTTTTAACCTTGGTCATTTAATCCTGTTTTGCACTCAGAATAGTTGAATGGTGAGGTAATTTGAATTAAGTAATGTAAAGCACATGAAGCATGTAAAAATGAAAATAAAACGCTGAATTATTAAGTAATCAGAATTAAGCAACTGAGTAGCACATATATAGGTACACTAAATGTGCCATCGCGAATCAATAATCCCAGTCTACACAAAGCCTATTTTTCTTTTCAATTAGAAAACAGAACAAGTGTAAAAATGATTGCTGATACATTACCTCCCGTTGTGCTACAGCCCAGACAAATTTCAAACCCACCATTATTGACCAGTGCAATGTCACCAAACACAGCTCTCAAAAAATTAGATCAAACTAGGTCAACATCATCACATTTCATATAGATTCACCACCCTCAGCAACACATACTCTCTGTCTTCCTCTCTATACCCCATTACCCTCCTCCTCCTCCCCCAACCCCCATTTACACACACCTCTCTTTTTCAGTCTCTCAGTGTGTAAACATTCTGGTTGACAATTTGTTTACTTCCCATCTTAATCTAAATAATTTAGTAAATGCCTTGTTGTTGCTGGCAGGCAAGCTAAGCACAGCTGTGTTGGGGAGTTTCCACCCCAGGCACATACTGTTTACCAGCTTAAAGCAGTCGTCAATACGGCACTCTGTTAATCCTCACTAACAATAAGGACAGTTAACATCAACCACCATTTCATTTCAGACAGCACAGTCTAGGGAGCCAATCTACCTTCAAAACCTCCTTGGCCACAAATATATTACTGATTTTTTTATATAATGTTCTAAAAATGTGGGGATACTAGTTCTTTCTGTGGAAGTGAGGAACTGGAAATATTGAACTGTTTTTGAACAATGTAGTTTTTTTTTAGGAAAGTTTATCATCTACATTTTCCAGTTGTACTCTATGAGAAGTAGTATTAACAAGCACAGTTTGATGCTTCTGAATATTCTCTCTCCTCACCACTGGGCAAAGCTGAGTTAACTGCATTAGCATGCAACTCACTATAGTGGGCAGCAAATTGCAATAACCAATTTACCTATGAGTCACCACTCGACAGTGGAAAAAGCACTGCATCAACTATTTTAAAATAAGTCAATCAGAAGCCAGAGCTGCATTAGTTTTAACATAGTCACCAGTGAACAGTGCTGCAGTAATATTGTAGCCTTCAACTGACCTGTGGTTAGTTAGCTCAACGATGCCGAGTAATGCCAACAGCACAGACTCTACCCCCACACTGTCGGAGGTTACCTCAAAAGATTCCATCATCTCAACCTCACCCCTCACTTGAGGCATGGTAACCTTCAGGTTCAGCTCACCACGAATTGTCTCTCCCTGATAGGAGAGTAGTCCTCTGAGGTTATGGTGACTTAACCTTTACTTTAGTTAATTTAGTTACAGAATACAGATGTTTGCACTGGAAAATCACCAGCATAGTGAAGTGGTCAGTGGTAAAGGTATATCAAATGACAAGTACTGTAACCAAGTACTCAGTGACAGGTCACTGATACATATAATGGTGTATCAACTGCGAGTCACCAGATACGCTTTCAGTGTGCAGTTCAAACTGGCCTTGGGAGCCAAGGTAAACTGAGGCAAGAGCAAGGCCATGTGCTTTGGGAACTGGTCCGACTGATCCTTTATTACCTTCACCGTCAGAACAGATTTGCTAGAGGTGCTGGGAATGTGATTCAGAAGGACCAGGGGTGCACAAAACCATGGTTGGAGCGTATTGCCAAGGTGAGGCAGAAAACTGGACTTTTGGGAGCACCGCTCCCTCTCCAATGCAGGTAAAAACTTGGTCATCAGGTGTGAGGTACTCTCTCTGTTGTAAGTGGCACAGATCTGGTCCATTCCCACAGCCGGCGCTGTTGCAGTCACTCAAGCCATCTTCCACTTCTTCTGGAGGTCTAAGATGGATCGTGTCCACAGGGACACCGTGTGTAAAACTCTGGATGGGGGTGCGGGTGGTAAACGTATCCAACGCTGCCCTCATCCTGAAAACAACAAATGCTGGAGATCACAGCAGGTCAGACAGCATCCATGAAGAGACAGCAAGCTAATGTTTTGAGTCTAGAGGCCTCTTCATCAGAGCTGAGGCCATCTTTGTGTGGCTGCATCAAACTGCGCATCAACCCACAGTACACAAATACCAAGCGTCACTATGTACTGAGGTTCTACCTGTCCCTGGTGTTGCAAAGGAATGGGGCTGGCCTCACTGCCACAGAACGCTCCAAGTATTTGGGCCATTCCGTATCACCTGTTTGCAAATGGAGAAATTTGCAAAGAAAAACACTTTTGATGACAAAGTCATTTGGCAGAATGCCTCATGACCAGATCTTTCCAACAAGCACCAAGACATTGCTTGGTTGATAGCGAGAAGGACACAACCTGTGAAATCCTTCATGTACACCTGGGCTCTCTATGCCACCACACACTGCCCTGAAAGCAGTTGCCATGGTGGTGGTTGGGCTGGGCTGGGTGGGAAACTGTCACACTTCTGCTGGAACGTGTCTATGCAAAGGAAGTAGGGAGAGTCATACCGGCTCTTATCAAGGTTTGTGTCAAACAGCAGCAATATGGGACTCTGTGCTCTACAGTCTGTTTCCCAGGACATACACAGAAGCAAACATCAAGGACCATTAACTTGGTGAAAGACACTCTTTGGTCTGCCCAAAACTTGCTGACCTTCCAGAGCAAGGAGTTGGCCTGGACAGAGTGTTGCAGATTGGCACATTCTAAGGTCCAGGACTACTTGCTGAGGGATGCACTAAAGCTTGGGGCAGCGGGGAAAGACATGATCTCAGGTCCTTCTGCTGAGGTTAAATGGGGGTCAATTCAGTTATTGGACCTCCCCATTCCTCAAATATGCGTAAATACAGTCTTGTACAAGAAAGAAGTGCCTTTGGTTTGTTTTTTAGGTACAGTCAAACTTCAAAGTTGGTTTCTCCACATGCTACTGTAAAGAACCAATAGCTGTGTACATGAAGACAGTTTTATAAGGTGTAATTTTTGAAAATGAAAAAAAAACTGCAAGCCACCACACAAGAACGATAAATTGCATCTTTCCACGTACATTTTGTTTAGCGGCCGTCTGTAATACCTCACGTAAATGTCATGACGCTAGGCTCAGAGATTACGAACAAGCACACGGTAGGAGCCGAGAAAGCAAAACATCTGGCTTAAAGTACTGCCTTTAAAAAACTGAGGGAGAACAGTCCACAACATGGACCTGAACTCGAACCGCATCAAACAGCAATTAACTCCAGTCAGCCTGCACGGCCGGTCGAACCCTGGCTTCGCCAACGGCTCCAGACGTTAAGTTGCTGTCGCTTTCCCGGTTGGCAGCCCCGCGTGGAGAAGAATAACAAACACGGAGCCCTGACCCACCCCCCTCCTTTTCTCCGCCGTCTTAGCAGAAGATTCCGTCCGATCGGCAGCTATCCACCGCCCACCCCATCCCCACCATTTTTGTTTTTTTTTAAAAACTACACACCACGGAAGGGAGCGAAAAGAAACACTCTCACCTCAAGGAGCGAAGAAGAAAAAGAACGCAGGGGGTTTGAGGCCTGAAAGTCCCTTCCTCAGCGCGGCTGGGGGATAACCACCGCCATTTTGAACGCCGACACTGCCGGCCGCGCCTTCCTTCCTCCCTCCGCCTGTCTCTCTCTCTCTCTCTCTCTCTCTCTCCGCCTCTCACGGGCTGAAGTTCATCGCGAGGCCGTGCGAAACCATGTTCAACACGCGAAAAAAAAATTTCCGCTCCGGGAACGGAGAGAGAGAGAGAGAGACAGACAGAGAGGGGAAAAAAAAAGGAAGGGTGGAAGAAAGAAAGAAAGAAAGAAACAAAAATTCCTTGGGGTCCGTGGCACGAGAGGATTTGATTTGATGTGCGCGCGCGCGAGCGAGCGTTGCCCGATAATCCGGTTTTTTTCTTCTTTTTGGTTTTCGCCGACCCTCCCCGGCAAGGGCTGCCCGCTTATTTAACGTTTTTTTTTGCTTAGAATTTCTTCTCAAGGGACAACTTCAGTGCCCTGGGTCATTGCAGCATTAAATTGGTCGGCCGGCTGCATGCTCTTTTCCGTGTGTGTGTGTGTGTGTGTGTGTTTCGTTTTGGGGAGGAACAGGCCGGAGAGTGAAGGCCTAAAGGCCTCGACGCTGCTGGTGCCATGGCAACCCCTCCCGGGCCCCACCCGCTCCATCAGTTACCATCCCCCCACCCCGACAAAAAAAAGCCGTGGGCTGTCCCACGAGTGACATCGCCTCCCTACAGCTCACTCCACACTGGCAGCTAACTGCTTCAAACACCAGCCTCCCCTCTGTCCCATCCACACACACATACCCCCCACTCCCTCCCTCAGAATATAAAATAATTTGCATTCAACTCAGTTCCCTGAAGCGGGGAATTTTAAAATAAAGTTCCTGCCCTTCGAACGAAGGGACTACGACCTCCGTCCGCTCCCCCGAAAAGGAAAATCATTCAAATCCACTCAATTTCTTTACTTCTACCTCCCAACCTCAAGGAAAGGCTTTTTTTTTAAAAAAAGCTTGGAAGATGCCAGGACTTCACTTTGGCCAGTACGGATTATCTACGGCACAGGCAGTGGCCCTTCAGCCCGTCAAGTCTACATGGGCTCTCTGCCCGCTCAATTTGGTGTCAACCTCCTGCCTTTTCTCCTAACCAGTGTTGCCACCATGTTTTGGGGGAAACTTAGACAGTTTTAACCTCGGCAATCCCTAGATATTTATCATTGAATACCTACAGTGCGGAAGGAGGTCCATCGAATCCACACAGTCTCTCTGAAGAGCATCCTACCCAGATCCACCCCACTACCTTACCACTGTAACCCTGAATTCCCCATGGCCAATCCACCCATATTTACATGGTTATATTATTTGACTTGTCCATAATATTACAA